TTCACGATAGAGCTTAAAAAAACTGTTTGTCTAAAGGTCTTTCTGATTGTACTTTGGTTTTGTGTTCACGCAGGTTGATGACGAGTCCTTCCCGGAATTTGTATTCATAAAGGAATGCTGCGAAATATATAACGGGACGATAAACTGGAGTGTTTCAAAATTTGAGGTAGTTTGAGATGAGAAAAATAAAAAGGGAAGATAGAAAAACAGTTTCTTTTGTTCCCTCAGATATCTTGAGCTGTAAACATCGTTTTTTTGCAGGGTTGTCAGTGTCAAAAAGACTGTCGCAGTGGCACAGCTTGCAGCTGTGCTCAAAGCAGTGAACGGCATAGTATTTGGTACAACGAGGTATGTCAACAGTCATCGAGTTCAGGTTTCACTTACTTCTTTCTCAAGTGCCTATTATTTGCATGTGTCCTTAATAGGCCAATTCCGATATATTAAAATTCTAACTTGGCTCTGAGGCTTAGGGGAATAAAACAAAAGAAATTAATTATTCATCCCTCATCCTCGATTTAATTTTTTTGTTTTATTCCCCTAAGCCTCGGAGCCAAGTTAGAATTTTAATATATCGGAATTGGCCTATTAAAACTGACACAAATTAGTATTTTTTTTATTTGTTAACAGTCAAACCTCTTTGCAACGGCCACCTTAGGGACAGATGAAAGTGGCCGTTGTAGAGAGGTGGCCGTTATGGGGAGGTAGGGGTGTAATATGACGCTTGCTTTTTCGAGGGGTACAATATTTTACATTTAAAAAAATGATGACTGTGGCATATAAATACCTAACACAATAAAAATATGTCAATAAAACAGAAACCGAACAGGAACAGACACCAACGACGCGCGGTACGGATCAAATTTCCTGACCTTTTACAATAGAACACGGGGTTTAGTAAACACCATTCGTCAGTCGTTGATTAACTGGGCGTTGTTGACAGGTTATTTTGGTAGTTTGGGACGCGCTTTAGTGGCCGTTGCTGTTGTAGAGAGGCTAAAATAAGAATGAGTGTATGGACCGTCCGCCGTTGTGGAGAGCTGGCCGTTAGTGGAGTTCAACTGTATTTCTTGTTCGGAGTGTTTCTATTGTTTTAAGGCTTTTTCATGGAAAACAAGAAGCAAAGGAATTCGCGACAAGTGTATCATGATCATTGAAGTAGTGTATACGGGTTGATTAAATACGCAGTCTTTTAACCATACGTTTTCCGTTCATTATAGGATGGTGTTTTAATGGGTGACATGCAGAAGTATGACAGACCTCTTCTTTTTGAGTGTAACAGAATGTGTAAGTGCTGGTCGTACTGCAGGAACAGAGTTGTTCAGAGAGGAATGCGGTATCCATTACAACTGTACAAAACCTACAGGAAAGGTTTGTTGATTTACTGCTCGACTGTTATCTTATCTCTGCTGTAAATTTGGCGAGCAGGGATGGCGGCGCACTGGCATTGGTGAGAGCGCTCGCCTCCCACCACTGTGGCCCGGCTTGATTCCGACCCGGTGCCATAAGTGGGTTGAGTTTGTTGTTGGTTCTCGCCTTGCTCCGAGGGTTTTTTTACCGGGTTCTCCGGTTTTCCTCCCTCCACGAAAACCAACACTCCAAATTCCATTTCGACCAGGATAGAGAACCCACGGGAAAATCAGTTAAGGCTGAGGTGGCTTCCTCTCTAAATATTGTTTATTATTTATTTAATTATTTATTTATTTATCTTTTATTTATTTATTATTTAATCGAAATCGAACGATTTGGGGTTTGTGTTATATAGAACCAGCTTCAAAATAAGTTTTAAATACACTACGCATTTATTGTCAACAGGCAAATTCGATAATTCACTTCAGTGTGCGAAGTCATAAGTTGTTCTTGTAATATATAAAACACGAGAGACATTGTTTCATCGGGATATCCAAACACCGAGAAGAGAGTTGAAAATACGATGCGCAGCAGAGTATTTTTGACGAAATTCGAGTTGTTCGAGTGGCCCATGAAACACTGGAGTGTTTGATATATCTTCTCAATCGAAACAAAAATTGAAGAGTAAACGGAGAAGTAAGATCGTCAAAACCTATGGTAATTAAGACCGGGTATCGAAACCTCCTTCACGATTGTGATTTTCTTTGTTTTAGCTTGATGAATAAATAATGAGTTTGAGAAGTATCGTGCAAAGTTCACCTCGGTAATTGCCAGCACGTGTGTATTGTAGGTTGGGGTGTACGAAGTCTTGCAGAAATTCCAAAAGGAAGTTTTGTCTGTGAATACACGGGCGAGTTAATATCTGACACCGAAGCAGACGCTCGAGCCGATGACTCTTACCTGTTCGACTTGGACTGTAAGGTATGAACGAGGCCGCAGACAACTACCACACTGTCTTCCTGATGATGTGTCAGTATAGTATTAGCTGGAAGGGCAGGGGTGGCTGTTGTCTTTTTCCGTTCCTGCTGTTATTTGATTGGATCATGAAAAGGGTCAGTGATGGGGCAAAAATTGGCATTCGGTGGATTGCGAGATACCTGCTGCCCGATCTTCACTTTGTCGACGTTATTGGTTTGCTTTGTGCAAATGCGGGGTAAGAACAACAGAACTGGCAGGCCGAGCAACGCAGCAGCAACAAAAGCAAAACAAGGCTGGGTAAAGTTCAGTGAAAGTTATAATAAACGGGCACCGGGCTCAATTAGTCCTAATTGGTCTCATATTTTCTGTAAAACAACCTTAATGTGGACACTTGAGTTGGTTAGTGAGTGTCCGCTAAATACAGCGGATTTTACTGTTTCTATTAGCTAGAAAGAATCGTGGAAATCGTACTTACTCTAGGAGTCCTGCAACTGTCAGTTGCATGGCTTAGTCTTTTTTTTCCGACGTCTTTATCTCTATTGATTAAAAAACAGTAACATACAAAATACAACATATAGCAGACAACGTTTGGGAACGATTCAAATTTAAGCAAGTGCTTGTCAAGTTTGAAACGTTTCTTGATTTTCCGAGGAGTCCGTTATCACAATGCAGGGACTAAGATCTCACGTTAGAGGGTGAATGATTAATCGCGTTGTTTGTTTATCTCAAGTTTTCCTTTTATTTGTAGGAAAGTGCCCAGGAGTTGTACTGCATTGATGCCAAGAATTACGGGAACATTAGCAGATTTATTAATCACTCCTGTGAACCAAACATCTTTCCCATACGCGTATTCATCCATCATAGAGTGAGTTCCGTGGCTGTGCGTGTAATGTATAATAACGAGGTCGACCGCAATGTGCATCTGGCGTTAGTCAGTTAACAAATTAAACCATTGTCGATGTTTCTTTCCACCGTTCCGGGTAAAAATAGGCGGTCAATACACATTCCAAAGAAGTGCACTGTGTTGTGACGTGTTGTGTACCTGGGGAACTGTTGAGGTTGAATCCTGTCTAATAGACTTTACTCACGTGACTCTTTCATAGAAGTCGTGAATACCAGAGGTACGTTTTGATTGGATAGCAACTGAGAAAAAAAGAGCCTCGATTGCTTCTACGAAGATTTGCCAAGAAGACATTTCTTCTCTTGATTGTTTAAAGTCAATTTTGAACTTTTTGTATTCCTTCGGTGTTTAAGTGTCTTGATTTTGTTTAATTGACTTTTAATATTTTAATTCAATGTTATTTGTTTTTGTAGCTTTTAGCTGTTTTCTTTTTTTTTTCAGGACATTAGATTTCCGAGAATTGCTTTCTTTGCCACGAAGGAGATTAAAGTACACGACGAGGTTTGGTAAGCACAGATTAAGAAGAATGTACTCTCTTGGTCGTGTAACCACAACCAAGCATATATTGGCTACGTACTTTCAGTTTTGTTCTTTTTGAAAATTACAGTATTCGAAGTTCTCATTTCAGGAATTTTTTTTCCTGTAACTGTGTGGAAACAACTCACCCTGGGGGGTGATGTTGTAAGTACCTCCTAGGGGTTCTTTTCAAAATTTCCGACGAGCACCCCCGTCCTTTTTATGTGGGATTGCCCCTTCCCGGAACTCAGGAAAGTTATCATTTGCCAGTTTCGCTTTGAACAAATCCCAGTGTGCCTAGTATATAGGAATAGTGTAATGATCATGATTATGTTATGTCCACTATGCTGCATACAGTAATCTTGAACATTTCTTGTCTTTATAGTTTTAACTACGGAGACAGGTTCTGGTCAGTTAAAAAGAAGGAGTTTTACTGTGAATGTCGCACGCCAACCTGCAAGTATCGAAATCCTCACAGTTAACCTCTCCACAAGGCAGTGGTTCTCTTTTGTCTTTCTTTGTGTTCCTGTTTCCTCTGGTCATTCGCTACTTCAGTAACTGAAGAGAACAAACTCAAAAGTGTTTTTTTTCCACGTACGCTTTTTAACTGATATGACAATGTTGCGCTTTTGCTCCGTCGAGCATTCGCTATCTCACTGAGTGACGATGTTGTCATAGATATTCAGGTGCGAAAGTACTGGTTTCCTAAACTCCTGTACAATGTGACCTCAATATAATGAACAAACTCTGTTCGCCAAATTTCTTTTGTATTGTATATTTATATCGGTGCTTTTCCTCTTTCCGGTAATTCAACAAAGTCCCTAAGGCAATCATTCTATTTTGGAAAAGCTTAAAATGTGCACAGACACCAACCACGTTGATTTGTAAGCTGTTTGATCTGAAATATCGCCAGGTATTGGTGGAATCATTGCCACTAGGATGTTCCTTGACTTGTTTAGTCACTTGTTAGACTGACTCAGAAATTCTGACGATATAAGAGGCACTTTCTCGTGATATGTGCTGAAGGGTATATTTATACTCAATATCTTTAGAAATTAGTGCATTCCTGAGATTGTTCGTTACGACAGAGCTACTTTGTGCGAGGGTCTGTCTATAGTTAAAGGGACACAGTCAGTTGGCGTACATGCGCATTAGATACCATTTCATAGCTAATTTGCATATCACAGCGACGCGATCCATACTGTTTTTAACCAAATATGATAAAAATAATATCAATAACATGAGTAAAAGCATACTCAAAACGGTCAGCGCGGTCCCAAAGCTGACTGTGTCCCTTTAAGAGCCTTTTTAATCTCTTCCCTTTAACTTATATCTGCTATTATTGTAACGTTGGCGTTCATATGAAATTAAGGTATTATAATATATATTATGTATATTTTTAAATGATGCATATTTCATTCATCTCTTTGAATACATGTACACCTTGTATGTCAGTGTGTTGAGTAGGTTCCTGACTCTGTACTGTGCGTGACTGCATCGTTTCTAAATGAGTTCCCTGTTTCAAATACTTGCATTATCGCGCCAGGGAAACGTCAGAAACGAAGCTTGTTTTCTCGTTTTCCTGTTCTCAGAAATAATCTTACCAAGCAGGTTTCTTATTTATCGCGTTTTGCGATTGAAGAAGTGCAGTTTAAAGGGAGGAACGAAAAGCTCAATTTAGATAAAAAATTCAACTTCGACAGAAACCAGAGATTGATTTTTTTATTGACTCAACTTTCAGTCTTTTAAAAGAACGTTTTCTATTTTAAGAAAAGTCTGATTCGAAAGTTTATTTATTCACTGGATTTAACCCTCATATCAGCAACAACCAACCATTTATTTTCTCAAGAGTGATCAAGAAATCAATTCTCCTTATAGTATCAGAGATAAATTAGAGAATTAAGAAGATCATTAAGCACAGGGAATGTTTTTCATGTATCATTCGCAGAACCGACTTTGAGCGAAATGTGTCTTAAGGGTCGAGTTTGAGAATAATGGGGTTACTGGTACTGTTGTGTACGAGAAGTTATATAATATGTCTATCTCAGAGATTATTTCTGTGCGTTTAGTGTACAAACGTACTTTTCTTTTGTTTTATCATCATTTAATATCATCTTTTATTTTTTTTACTTAAACCTTTCCTATCCATAATCGCAATTGGTTTAAGCTGATGGCGATGCACGAGATATTCCGCGAAAATTTTATCATCTCTATTTTGTAAACAAATTATCGCTGCTGTGTCGCGTGTTTTGTTTTTTTTTGTTGTACTTACTGTGTGCTTTTAGAATGAACATTTATACTGTAGTAGGTTGTGATTGTTATATTAGTCACTGAATTTCTTCGAAGGCTTTATTTGTATTTAGAAGACTGTTTTCTTTCAAGATCTGAGTGTGTTCAGAGTGCCTTGTCTCTTTCTGTTTATGCATATTTATAACCCCAACGAAGTACATGTTATTGAAATAAAATTCTTATTCGAGAAGTTTGAACTGGTTTTTGCTATGGTAACGGGTCGATCTACGATGTTAGACTCCGGACATTTTGTGTAAGAGGTATATGTTTAGCAGCACTAGTTTATTAAAGGCACTTGATCATTCTATAGACAATTCAAATTATTTGGTTTAAGTTCTTATTAAGATTAACTGTATTGAACAATGTCAATGGAAAACGAGTCTAAAATGCCCCATTTACACGTCAAGCTTATGCTTATCGCATGTATGAACACCCTTCTGCCTACGCCCTCCCTCGATTTACATTGTATACTTGAAAGCAGCGTTTAAACTGGGTTTAACTTGTCAAGATAGATCAAGATACTGCCAAGAAAATCCTCAATCAGATATCTTTTAGTAGGACTACCTTCCAACCAGACAGTCGCGCTGTAAACCAAAGGCTATTATTTCTTCTCCCCAAAGTATTGGGTGAACACGTTTATATATAACATTTAATTTGACCAGCATTGTGAATATAATATTTCTAAATAGGAGTTTTCTTCCGAATCGAGACCCAGTCAGACTTTTTATGTGCCTTTTTTTACACTTGGAGAATAAATATTTTGCGTATTTCTGACAATGACATTTTGGTTTAAAAGATTGAAACTACATTAATAATTGCTTTTTTGAACGTTGCTGCCTAAGTACTTCACATTTAAGGCAAACTTGTAACTCTACTTTTTAAATGTTTCGCGACAGACGGATATTTCATCGGGAATTTTTGTCGCAGCTTTCTCGGCTGTAATATCTTCCGTAGCCGAAATTTTCAAATGTCCTTCAAACAGTCGCGTGAAATTTAATCAAGACCCCTTTAGTAAGTCAATGGTCGTTAGAGATCGGCGTCAGTTTTGGGATGAAAGGCAAACACATCAAGTGTCAAGTCCTTAGGTTTTCTCTAAATTGCATTAATTTGCGAATAAAAGTGTAGAACAACGGAAGTCAAAAGCAATTATATTTACACCTCGAGAATATTCAGCTGCATTGAAAAACAAATATTCGGGTAAACCAAAAAACATTGGGATCTCGTTTAATTAAATTAGAGATTCATAACAGAGAACCCAGTTTTACTGTTTGAAGTCCACAGCACACGTATCACTTAAGTTGTATCTCTCAGACATGAAATTAACAACCCTAGACTTCGTCCTTTTACCAGGGTTAGCGGTTATTGTCATCATTGGATTAATACGAAACTCGCTCATCTTAATAGTTGTGAAGAAGAAGCGCTGCATGCATACTACAACAAACGTCTTCCTTGCCAATCTCGCTTTGGCCGATCTATTAACGTTGCTATGGTGCATTTCAGGCCTTGCACTAAAGGGATCCATCACACACCCGGGCGGTGTGCTGGGAGATGTCCTATGCAAATTCATAACCATGAATCACATGGCAGGAATATCACTTCTTGTCGCCGGGCTGACACTAACTCTTGTCTCTGTTGAACGGTATAATGCGCTTGTAAACCCTCTGAATGTGAACTTACGGCTCACTTTAGGAAATGTCAAGTATGCCATCGCTGTCATGTGGATATCTGGTTTCGTCTTTGTGTTGCCACTCTTCGTCGTAGAGTACTGGGACGGTACACGCCGTACCTGCGTAATGGCCTGGACGAAACCATAGTCAACCATTTATTTGTCATTTCTAACATTGGTGGTAACGGCAACGTTTATCGTCGTTTGCTTCTGTTATTTCAACATCATCAGAGGGTTATATTTTACAAAGCAAATCTGCGCAGAGAATTTATCATGTTCTTCTCGCGAGGACATCCAAGCCAAGCGTAAAATCGTCAAGCTTTTCATTACTATTACTGTTATCTTTATGGCATGCTTCTTTCCTTTTGTTATTGCTACAGTCTTAGACATTTCTACAAAAGCTGTGTTTTATAAAATTTCGCTATTTTTAGTCTACTGCAATTGTTGTGTAAATCCCATTTGCTACGTACTTCAAAGCACCAACTACAGAAGGGCATTCAAGGAAACTATCAGAAAGAGATCGACCACAAATCAAACAGACCAAGCAATATAACTATACTTTTAAAAAGGAGCTGTCAGCTAATTTAAACACAGATAACAGGACGTATAACGTGCTCAGGAGGTTTGGTAACATCAAATGGTACTCAGTCCGCTGAAGTGAACGGAACCATTAGGGAGAGAGAATAAACAGTGTGAATAATGAAAAAAGATTACAAGAGCGAACAAAATGCGAGATTAATACTTACATTTGAACAGCATTTATGGGAGGGTTAAAGGTTCCAACCTTTTATTTTGTACTTGCAGAGCGTTATTCGATAAACAATTTCTAATCAACAACGCTAGAACCATAGTAGGAATGGTTGTGTAACCCGGCAAACTTCAAAGGAGAAAACAACTACGCCGATATTGATAAATGGAGGCTCTTGTTTTGTGCTCATACACTATGTACGTTAATTATTTAACCTAAACTGTTCTATCGGTTAGTTGCTTAGACAGAAGTAAACATCTGTTGTATGTTTTCCACAGTCAAAGTCAAAACAGCGAACAAAAACAAAACAAAGCACTTTGTCGGGATTCGTAACCATTCCCCTCTATCATAGGCTATGATGGAACTGAGTATTCATGTGGTCGTAGTGTAACTCTTCGCCGAGTTAGAAAAAAAAATTCACAGACCAAGTTTTTTCTTCTCGGGACCAATGTTGTCGGGAACAAGAATTAATGGACCTAGTAAGTTTCGATCCATCTGTTGTTAAGCAAATTAAGCCGGTCTGTTTGAGGTCCATCTGTCGGTTTTGATTATATCGCGAATAAGTTGTTTGAAACGTGCCGGTAGTTGTTGATGCTGTTGCGGGATCCTACAGCCCTACAACATCTGCGTTGCCCATAATCTATAACTGCGTTACGACACTTACTGACCAACGTTAAAGACAGGGACGAACCCAATGACAGATAGGAAGTGGTTTACAAGATCAGATGCTCCGACTGCCAGGCTTCCTACATCGGTAAGACCTTATCTCGAGCCTTACTGAACACAAACAAACGACGAGAAATGATGATGCCAATGATTATACTTTTGAAGATCATCAACTGACAAATCATAGAATTGACTAGGCCTCTGCTCGATGCTTAACCTACAGTACAAAACATTTTCAACGACTGACTCTGGAAAGCTGGTACACTAACTTAGAACAAACTCCCCTCAACAGAGGTCGAGAACTACCGGCACCTTACAAACGACTTTTTCACGATAGAGGAGGTCAAGGCAAAACTGGAATGAAGTATATTTACTGGAAGTGTTCAGTTTAAGGTAATTCCTCTGAAATAAAAGTGACAATAGATTTTTGTTCAAACTTTGTCCACTGAATATTTATCATATGATAACTTCAATTTTGAAATAA